CCACCACCACCGCCGCCGCCGCCCCCACCACCACCACCACCACCACCAGCACCAGCATCATCATCATCATCATCATCATCACCATTATCATCAACATCATCATCGTAATCATCATCACCATCATCACCATCATCACCATCATCACCATCATCACCATCATCACCATTCATCACCATCATCAACATCATCAACATCAACATCAACAACACCAACATCATCATCCGCATCGTCATCAGCATGATTTTTCATTACAATGATTATCTTTCTTCTTCTCCTCTTCAGCCTCACCAGCGTCATCGTCATCATCATCATCATCATCAGCATAAGCACGCACTTATTCTTGCTTGTTTTGTCTCCACTTTCTGCCTGTTACTGTCCACCGTATCTTCACCACCATTTCTGGAGTCCGATTATACAGAAGCTGTGGCAGGCCGGACAGCCACATCAAGTTCATCCAGAGGTGGTCTCATGGATGAATTGCGTATTTTTGTTTAGACAAGTGTATCTTGATGCTCGGAACACCACTCAGGTTTTTCTATTCGGCCTCCCCCTGTAACGTGGGCAAAGAGGTTCGGAAAGGAAAGACTTGCCTTGGTGGTTGCATCACGTCTCGAACCATCGTGCGGGACAGCATGAATGCTTCCAATGGGGTTGCTGCGAGAACAGAGGCTCAGCCACAGAGTGGGATGCCGGTGGAGGGGAGCTCGTCTGTTCCCTGCGCCCGCAAACTGCAACCTGAACGTAGTCAAGGTCCGAAGCCGCGTGCTAAGATGGACAGAGTGAATCTAACCCACAAGCCTCAGCAATGAAGCTCGGTGGTTGTAAACGGTCACGCCTGAAGCCCTGGAGCCATCCCGGACTCAACGACAAACCGCAAATGCTTCGCACCTGGATTAGGTCACTGTGTGTCACACCTGATCCTTTTCAATCTTCAGAGCTGCTGCTCAGGTAATGCTGCCCTCGCAGCGCACCGGGGCTGCACTGTCACTGTCAGTCCAATGCTCGCAGAAAGCATCAACAACAGAAAGGAGCAGGCAAACCCTGATACCGAGAACACCAAATCCCAACAACAGCAACAGCAATGGCAAGATGGTAGCAGTCAGAATGACTACAGCACCCCGCAGAGTTTACGATCCTCGCTCTAGCACGGAAGAGACGGCAATGCCGAACAAGCAGGAAAACCGTGCTCCCAGTACTCAAAACAAAAACGGAAGCAGCGATGACTACTACGATGCTGACGAGGCAACACGGACATCATGGCTCATACCAACCGATAGCATGTATGACGGCAAAGAACAGTTCAATATCATCAGAAGTCGTAGGAACAGCAGCGAGAGCATCACACATACCAGCACTCCGGTATTGGTAGCCCCATGGAAAACAATGGTACCAACAATAGCGCCAGAGCAACACTGTCGCATCCAACCCAAAGAATACAAACAGCAAGATCAATACTTACAAGTGCAGGCAAACACGGACAGCAACCCACAATGAAGTCTCTGTTAGCCGTTGTCAGGCAGCAGTTGCTTGACAGACCTTTTGAACTGCCCTGACAAGATACATGGAAGAACAAAACTCCAGATTATGCCAGGCAGAGCAGCACCTGGAAGAGCAGCATCGCAACGTTGTCTTTCATTGCGCTAGCAACACCAAAGAGGCCAGCAACACAAGGAGCACCAGTATCGCTTCTGGAGATCACGGAATCAATGCTGTTGTTGACACCTCGCAGAGAGGCAGCAGAAGTACTCACAGCGACAACATTGACAGCAACAGCAAACCCAACCATATTGAATTATATTTGGTGTCATGGCTACACTACCAAGGTATTGGTAAAAGAGAATCAGCTTGTGACCATGCTGGCGACAATGGCATGCAAAAATTCCCATCCTGAACAGACCAACAGTTGGACAAACAATAGCTTTACTGCCAACGACGAGTCACACTGGCAACACTGCCACAACTAAGCTTTAAAAACAGCACTATGGCATTAGCACTACAAGCACTCCTATTGATGATAACGATGATGACAAGCAACAAGACAGGTACTCGCAGCCAGTACCACATTCACGGCCAGTGCCACTGTCCAGACGCATGTGATTCCGCGTAGCCCAGGCTGCCTGCACCTGCGCCTCAGCCAGTGACCCGTGCTCCTGCAGTGCCAGGACAGGCACGTTTCCTCATTGGCCTCAGGCTTGCTTGCCATGTTGCGGCCCTGCACAGAAGTGACTGCAGGACTCACGAGCCCGGAGACGCAACCACCTGTGCTGTGTGGATGCAAGACCTGCGCCCCAAGTGCAGCAAGTTACACAGAATGACTTTGTTGATAGGTACTGGTATAAGACGCATGATTGGTGGGTTTGTCGTGTTCCCTAGTGATGTACAGGTGTGCAGGTGACAGCCCTTCGTCTTTTCGTGATTCAGCCAGCCTCTGCAACCACAGCTTCAGCATCCGTCTAGACCAGGTCTGCGTAACCATCTTTTCTGAGTTTTGTTGATCCCTAAGTGGCATCGGGATGGCGAATTGTCACAGATTCCGTGAGGCTTTGTTCGGAGCAGGGAGCAGGGTGGATGCATGATGCAAATCTTCAGCCTAAGCTGCGATGGTTTACTCAAGGCAGCAAGCCCGTGCAGCGCTGGTTCATCCACCCCAAGTTCGGCTGCTTCGTTGCTCGCTGTGATCCTTGGCCCCGGAGATGTAAGCGTGATGTTGTACAAACTCGTCATGATGTGTCGGAAACGCTGTGGTGGTCGTGGCGGTCTTGGTCGTGGTGGTCGTCATGGTCGTCGTGGCACTCTATGGCAATTTTATCGTTGTCGGGAACGGGGTCTACGCTGGCGTATTACTCGTACTACTTGCATTTGGACGAGCAACAACAACAACAAAAACTCCTCCTCCTCCTCCTCCTCCTACTACTACTACTACTACTACTACGACGACGACGACGACGACGACGACGACCACGACGACGTCGACGACGGCTGCTACTACTGCTACTGCTGCTACTACTACTACTACTACTACTACTCCTGCTACTACTACTACTACTACTACTGCTGCCACTACCACTGCGACAAAATATAAGTTTATGCTTCTTCTGGTTGCGTTGTAAAGATACTGCACAAGCGCAGCAACCTCGGCTGCAAGTCCTCGCCCATCTGAGGAAGGCATATTCCCCCACGGTGGCAAGACGAGGGCCAGCTACCACTTCTGGCAGCTGTGCTGAGGGTCGAGTGGAGTTTTAGGACCGTTGGGTCAACCCGAGCCATCGTGCGCAGTCCTGGCCAGGGTTAAGGCAAAGGTTCTCCCACGTGTAAGAGCATGCATACCAAAGACCCTAGCTTCCGGACTCTAAGTTGGGGGATTAATCAGTGGATGCTTTAAACCCTCTGACGGCGCCCATAATCCAATGTATTCCCTTTCTGAAATGTGTGACACTCTGGAAAGTTTACATCCCTTGTCACACGCCGGGGGCCGAGGTATTCCCTGTTGCTCGGCAGCAGTTGGGTCGTTTGCAGGTAGGTGCCGTCGGGGTTCCAGAAGTGTCGGAGGCGGTTATGACCCTTCGCCATTGCGCACAGCCTAGAAGCAAGCAATGTTGGGACCGGTCATCTTGTTCTTGGTCCCCCAAAACCTTCGCCAAATCTGGAAGGCTATTAGCTGGATGTTCTGTGCTTCGATTTCGTAATCCAGTGGCTGCAGTACGCCAAGGAATGGCAAAGACTGGGGAGCGACGTCCAGCTTAACCGTCGAGATGCAGAAGCTAATGAAGAAAGAGCCTGTCAAGCAGAAGCCCCAGCAGCAGGCACGACAAAGTCTGTCTAAGTTGTTGGACGAACAACACCTGGGAGATGGTGTCTTCTAGTGCAGTGGTATGAATCCGTACATCCCCAGCGCATCTTCCGCTGCGGGGTGCTTGGCCCCTCTGATCAACGACTCTCGCCTTGGAGGGCTCGGATTCCTCTGCTCTCGTCATTTTGCAGCAAGGAGCCTCCGAAACGCTTCAACGCAAAAACTTGGCTCCGGTTGAGGAAGCCAAGGCTTCACTTACCACGACTTCGTTTCACCATGAATTTCCGACTACCTGATTCTATTCTCTGCAGCACGGGGCATGGATACGCAGATCGCCATTATGTTGATGAGAATGCCAAAGCATCAGGAACTTTTAGGACATAGTGGTGGCATTCGCGGTGTTTTGGTGCCGGTGCTGATCTTTTGTCTGTCAGCTCACTGGGTCCAGCTTGGCAGGCGAGGAAGTTCGGCAGGGTGCGAACCCGAACCCGAGCCATCAAAGTGCTCGACGTTGCGCTCGCAGAGATTTCGGAGGACAGAGAGGCTTCGGTGGAAGGGAGCGCCTTCTGGCTAGCGTCCTCAAGTCTGGGTCGAGGGAGCTTCAGGTACGAAGTCCGAGCCCTAGTGCAAAAGCCGTCACCGTAGTTTGGAGTTAATTGCAGCGTGGGTGCGGCAGCGAAGTGTGGATGGTAGGGAGTCGCAAGAAGCTCAGGTGTCACAGAAATCTTTCGCCGTCGTCATCATCATCATCACCACCATGACCACCACCATCAGCATCATCACCATCACCAACTTCAGCACTTCTGTCTGCATCGTTTAGGCTATCAGCGGCAATACCAGCAATGCAGCAATAATTGTCGCTCCCAGGATGCAGCGATGAAGTCGCAGGTTGCTGGTTACGATGATGTTGGTCCGGCTGATGATGATCGTGATGATCATGATGATGACGACGATGATGATGATCAGGATGGTGCCAACGATCACGAGAGTCTCGTGCTTGGAAGTATCTGTACTGGCACCAATATCAGAGTCATAGCGTGTTTTATATCAAGCATAAAGCCCAAAGCTGCACCCGCAAAAACGACAATGGCTTGACTAGCGCCTATTACAAGGGTGTCAGCATTCGTACTGACACAGGTGATGTCTTTGAAGTCAAGATGTGCAGAAGTCCTTGCTGCGTAGGCTTCGATTTTATCGTACCTGCGGAGGACGTAAAGATCACAAAGCGAGAGCGCCTGGAGCTAGCAACGATGCTTGACAAGAGGGAAGGGGCCGATAGTGCCGGGAAGGGATCTAACTTTTTGGAGAACTTTCCCATCATACTCATCAGCACCACCCTCACTTTGTTCACCTTCTCCACGTGGCTTGGGATTTTTCCTGGCGTAGAGCAATGACTGCCCAAAGAGCATTTGCTGCAGGAGCATGCAGAGCATGTTGCCTTCTTGCTTTCGTTGCGCTAGTTGTTGTTCTTGGTGCTGATCTGGTTAGTTGGTTAAGGCCACGATACCAATGCAGCTCCCTCTCATCTGGGGGAACCGACGTTGACACATCCTGCAACCAGCCAGGACAGTTCAGTCAAGCACTTGAAGACAAAGTGCAGCGAAACACGTCGTAAGTGAGTAGCATTGTAAAGCCAACCCTGCTGTCAGATGATGAGTAAGTCGTGAAACCAGGCTTCGGTGAAGGTTTGAGGTCTAAGGCTGGGCCGGTCCAGTGCCAGACCCGGCAACGCACTCTCAAAGCTCTGACTGCAAGGAATCTGATGAAAGATTTCTGGGAGGCTGCGGGATCAGCGAACCTTGGCAGGGGTCTAAGGGGGCAACTCACAGGCCGGACCTTGTCATCTAGGTACCCGTCCAAAGATGGTAGGATAAACAGCATGAAAACAAGTATATGTGTGCATAAAATCATATATCCAAATAGGTGCATGCAGTCCATGTCCATGTCCATGTCTGCTTGTCTTTGTCTGTATCCATATGTAGTAAAGCATCTTCGCATTCCTCATGTACTGTTCTGGCCTCCGGGGATTGCAGAATAGAAGCTAGGAGCCTGGCGGCCTCGCTGCGTGCCGTTGCAACTGTGCTGGTGCACTACCACAAGATCTCGAAACCGCCCTTGAACAAAAGCCTTGGGAGCCTCAACCACGGAATTTCAGGGTCTGCTCAAGGTTCAGGAGACAGCGACAGGGGACCCTGCAAGACTACCCTTAAAGCCCTAAAGCCTAAACCCTATCCCAAAGACACTCCTGTGGTGCAAGCCTAAACCCTAAACCGAGGATCGAAAAGTATCTCTCGGAGCATGGAAGAAAACCGAAGAAGTGGAAGAAATACATTTCCCGCAACTGGCCTGCAAGCGCAATGAGTTTAGATGTTAGATGGGGCTTCCTGCAAATAGGCGTATCTAGCTCAATCATCTTTGTACGGGCCAATAATCAAAGCCCACTACTGTACTTTCTGAAACTCCCATAAACGGGTTGGGGCAAAAGGAAAGATTTTGGACCAAGTGACAACAGCCAGCCTGCTACTCCCGGTCTCTGATCCAGACTATGGCTAGGCTGGTTGAGGTTGCGGGTTTCGCCAGGGTCATGGTGACATCACCCTGGCGACATGTGCCTAAGTTTCCGACGACGGGATGCAGGCGACAAAATCGTATGCTGGGGCACGGTTTGTCTGAGGCACCCGGACGGAGATGAAGAGTCGCCTGCAAGAGCAGGTCGCTTTGGGTGAGCCGGTCCGCCTTCCCTACTGCTGAGACAAGCACTGCACATCAGGTCATGATGCATTTCTGTCGTACCACATCACGGGACAGCACATGACTGCGTGCAGACGTGCATACGGAACTGTTTCATGACATTGCATGACATGATGTAACATGACACGATGTGCTGACGTGAAGTTACATGACTGGACATCTGACCTGGCTCTGCTGTTCGATGTTAGACGAATTGCTTGACAAGACAGGTCAAGAAGAAGGGGTTCCTCTATCCCAAGGGGCTGCTGAAGAATGAGGCAGCGGGGATCACGGGTTTCTGGCCTGAAGAGTGTTCTTTCCAGCCCAAACTCTTCGGTGTTTCAGCTCGTAGCACAGCCTCATTTGCAAAAGCTTGGGTTGGGAGTTCTCGGCAGTGTTCCGCAGCCAGGCCAGAGTTCCTCAGCGCGGACTTTCTGACTGGAGAATGCATGCTCCAATAAGCCTGGTATCCCGTTGTCACGTTATCATGTCAGCTATCATTCCCTCAGGAATCGGCGTGACAACACTGGCATGGACGCACCAGTGGCCTTTCGTGGTTGCTTGCAACTAGACTGCAGTGAGCCGTCCTTGGGCCACCCCATGTTCAATGCTGCCAGGTAAACCCTTTAGGTACTTTACGTCCTACCTTGCCTGATGGTGTTGCAGATCTGGCAATTGATGTGCAGTTAGCTGGGGCCTTAGGGCACAGTCTCGGAATCCACACACTACCTACCGTTATTGCTGTATTGATGTTCGGCAGTCAGGCAGAACTGCTCGTGTTTTTGACCTGTGGAGTGCCAGAGAACACCTGATAACCAAGCTGAGTCAGACCATCATCTTGCGGTCAGACAGGTGGCAGACGGCACCTTGCGCTTGATGTTGGTGTTCTTTTTCTTATCACGCATAGCATTATTACTCCTCATCTTGGCCTTCGTGCTCGTTCTGTGAGCGGCCTTGCTAGCTTGATGATTGGAAATTAGAGCACTCTTGCAATGTCAATTCCTAGAAATCTCGGCGGTCGTCCCAGGTCCAACCGAAGGATCGAAGCTCGCGTGACCGCGAGCTTCTGGAGTTTTGAGCTAAGGGGCGTGAGGGTGGCCAGGGAAGCCGGGCCCAGACAGGAAACTGAAAGCCAAAGTGAAGGGCAACTTCAGTCTTCAGGGAGTCAACTCTTCCTGGCGAGGGTCGCAGGCATCGTTAGGTCCTTTTGTTTAAGGTTTCTTGGCTTAGATGTGTTGTCCATGTATAATGCAGGGTCCAGTTTTCCTGTGACGGAGAGTGCCGGCAATCACCGGCACGTGTTCGTTGGGGTCGTCTAGTCCTGAGCATAGTCCCAGAGGCTATCTTCCTCGCACGCCCTTGGCGACCAGATTTGATGGCACTGCGGCACTGTGCGAGTTGCTGTGCCTCCGGCTTTTAACTCTACTTAGAACTTCATTTGTAGTCAGTATGGGTGCAGTCACATGTACCTCAATTAGGGCTACAAGATCATCTTATAACTGCGACGTCTGAGAACTTCCCTGTTTCGGGTGTGCCCCGTTGGCGGATATCGAGCAGAGGCCAAAAAGCAGGACTGCTCGGGCTGAGGGTTGAGGGGTTTTCAGCTTAGGGATTGGAGTTCATGGGTGGAGCTGAGGCTGAGGGTTGAGGTTGGTCTGAAATTTTGGTGTTCTCGGATCTTCCGGGCAGCATGAAGTGAGTAGGTTGCTGTGTTCTAAGGAACTTTGTGCAGGGAACTTATATACTGTCCGTGTTTTGGCTTGTCGTGGATCGGACTTTGCTTCGGTAGTTGGTTTCAGGGCCGTGTGCAGCCCATATGGACTCCTCGACAGCTCTTTCCGAGCAGTCGTTGTGCACAACAGACCAGCTTTCCGGTGGTCGGCGATTTTGCGTAGCCTTCTCTTGCGATGCAGTTGCAGCCTGTCTTGGCTCAGCAAACTCCGGAGTCAGCCTCGTCGGGTTTGCGACCAGACACGACCCTGAAGCCTCTACGCCATGAACGTGCCGGCTTCGCTTCCTTCAAGGCTCAAGCCCTTTTCTGCGATCTGTGGCGCCAGCTTCTGCTTCTGTTTCCCTGTGCCTCCTCTGCCGGTCTCAGTACGTTTGTCATGCCTTCCCGTGGTGGCAACTAACGACTGCCGGAGACTCCCAACTCTGATGTCCGCAGTGATGTCGCCAACCTGAATCTATGGATTTTGCCACTTTCCAGGCCCTTTTAAATTCGCGCAGCAGTCCGGAAGAACGTCTGAACCAATAGGGCCATCATGAATCAACCAGGCGTCTGACTTCAAAGCCTGAAGCCTCCAAGTGCGCAGTGTATCATGACATACAAAAGACTGTGTGGTAATGCAATATTTATCTTGTCGCTTTTGTGACTTGTTGTTTCCTTCGAGGCAGGGTGCAGCTCCTGGCAAGACAAGACATGAGCTATTGACCATCACGATTACCGGTAGGGCACAGACACTCCGCTTATCACCAAGTGCATGTATTCCTGCTAAGCTGCTAAACCCTCGTCAGTTTCTGAGGTTAGGAACCACAGTTTTATGCCGCCAGATCATCGATAGCTTGCATCACAGCAGATTTGAGGTGTTGCCATGCAGAAGCACAGATCAACAAAGAGTGGATTTATGTTTGCGTCGGCAACATCGACGGCCTGGCATGAGCCCTCCAACATATGCCAGCTGCAGCTGTCCTTACGTCGAGTGACAAGTGTACCGTCATGTTAGGTTTGCAGTGTTTTCTGGACATGTCCTTCAGTGTAAACCTGGAGTCTGCAGATGTGTCAGGCGAGTGATAGCATTGACATAGAGCATTCGAACATGTCTTTCATCCACCATGCGGCTTTGGCACATACTGATCAGGATCGGCATGGTGCCGGCGCCGGCAAAGCGACGTTGTTGGGGCAGGAGGTCTTTCGGTTAAACAAAACGGTTTGTACCAGTGCGCCAGTGACCATCGGCACTTGGGTTGGAGTAGTATAGTCCCAGGAACTTGCAGAAGATCCTTCATCGCTTCACCGAAGCCCCAGGCTCTGCAAACCTTCGACCAACCACCGTGGCAGCCTGATGCTGGCGTCCCTGGCTGCGCTGCCATGCATGACCTGCTTCCCTTTTTTTGGGTGGGGGTGGGTGGTGAGGAAATGGTGCCGAACCAAACTGTCACTAGTTCCACATATTTCAACCGTCTCGCATCCTGCGACTTGAGCCGCGAAAGTACCCAGGATACAAGCCCAAAAGAGGTGATTGTGGGTGACAGGGGCTGTGAAGCCAGCCGGGCACAGCCTCGCAGTTTCGCTTTTCGACTTTCTCTCTTTGGGGCCTGTTCAACTAGGTTGACGGAAAAGCCTTTGGTTGCAACATGACAATGTGGAGTGCCCTTTGCAAGGACACGCCATGCTCGGCGGTTGAGCACTCAGCGGCAGGCGGGGCTTGAAAGGGCAACAAGCGATTGAAAGCCAGCCGGGCTGCACCAGGGTTGATCAATTTACACGAGAAGCGTCCGCGACACGAGGAATTTCCTGCGAGAGCATGTCCTAACCTGTCGACGGTGCAACCTTGAGAAGGCCTCTAGAAACCCAGTTGAAAAAAGGTCTCTGATCTTTGTAGCTTAGGCTGCAGCCTAAGCTTCACGCAAATTTGCAAGGCCTTCGGCCTGCGGACATCGCCTTCCTCTGTCTTGAACCTGTGCTCATTACGCCGCTAAGGGGATGTGCAAGGGCCGTAAGTCCTTACAGCCCCTGGCCAGCTAGAAAGTTGGCAGCTGCAGCATTGGGGATGAATGTTCAGGGAGTTTGGGGTGTAGGGGTTTCTTAGGCCATGAGATGCTCTATAGGGTTCTACAGGGGATTATGGCTGTCGATAGACAAAGTTCAGGCGAGTTTGTCTTACCAGAACTGAGTGCCCCGGCATGGGCAGCAGTGGCAGCATGACCAGCGAGACAAGAGCCGAACCACCAGCAGCAATCACAGCATTCGCACTAGTCGCAACCAAGGTTACCAGCAATCGTAACAGCCCTACGTCGCGGGATAATTGCAGTCATCGCAGAAAGTAGAATTTTGTCGACATAGTAGTCATTCTTGCAAAATGTTTGCCATGACATACAGGGTGGGCAAAGCATCGTGCTCGTGGGAATCACAGCTGTCCTAAAACCTTTTCAGTAGTGACAGTGACGGTCGCAGTCATTCTACTCATAAAGCAGTAGCAGCACACTCTGCAACTAAAGTTGCAATGCGGCCGGACGGAACCATAGGATTTCTGGCAACGATCGGAGCAATAGGAAATGAGAACAGAATTGGTATCGGTCCAATAACTGTTCAATTCGTCAGCAGACCAGCAAACTATTTCGCAGACCTATGGTTTGTGCGGCCCATGAAAATGCAATGAAGTAGACCTTCTGAGATCTGAGCCATCACCAACCGAAGATCTGAGGAAAAACCTTCTGCAGCACTATCCGAGCAGCTTGGCTGAAAGCCCGCTTGCAACCTTTCCCTGCTTGGGCTCGCCAGCATACGAGCTGCACGGTGCCGTGTTTCACAGTGAGGTGGTGGCCAGTTCATATACGAAGCACTGCAGAACGCCGAGGACAGCTTGCTGTATGCGGAAGCGGTTGTAGCTAGATGAGCTGCTATGTGCAGGACACCGACAAAGCCACACGCTTCTGCGCCGTCTTGGATCTCACACATCACGCAGATGTGGAGATGCGAGGCGAAGGTGGTGAGTGGAGGAAGCGGCTGCAGGGTCCAGCCATCGTCTTCTACGACAACGGTGGCTTCAAAGATCAAGATTGGGACAGCTTGCAGAAAATCTACGACAGCAAAAAGAAATCCTCACCGAGTCAGGTGGGCAAGTACGGCATGGGCTCCAGATCCTTCTTCCACATTGGAGATATTATGCAAATTGTTTCTGGGTCCAAGTACGCCATCTTGGATCCAGATGAGCGCGTCTCAGCACCTAAACAGTTTGGTGACCAAGTCGACTTTGTCAGCGACAGCTTTGGTGACGAAGGGAGGTGTTTCCGGGATGCTTACCCAGATGAGTGTGCTCCATTCCTCGGACTGTTCGGGTGCACGATGAAAGAGCCTCTCAAGGGCACAATCATTCGAGTGGCCCAGCTGCACGAATCGACCTCGTGTCCCGGTAACGAATCTCCCTGGTTTTCTTTACTGAGAATCCTCATAATAAGAGGCAGGGGTTTCTTAACAAGGTCTCTACATCTCGCCGCGCTTCTTAGATTGAGAGTTACTGGTCTGCAGGTGCCTCTCAGATTGGCGGAGTGGGCAGATGAGTCCAGTTTCATGCCGGAGGCTTTCGACGAGTCAAGAGCCTGCGCCATTTTTGAGGACCATACCATCAGGCTTCAAGCCGACCCTGGCTTAAGCACATTGCACGTAGGTCGCAAGGGTCGTAGGCCTCACGTTTGGCGTCTCCACTCCCTCAGCCTGTCAGGAGTTCGAGGCGGCTGTTTCCACTGGAGAGTTCGCACTTTTCTTGAGTCGTCTCTCCGACATCGAAATCTTCCGGCGAGAGATGGACACGGGCCTGAGGCTCACTGCGTCTCAGTCAACCAGGGTTGTGCCGGGCGGTCTGAAGAACCAGAGCCTGTCGGAGATAAAGCAGTTTCTGAAGCGCTTCAGCTCTCACGAAGAGCTTGCAGATGAGCTTCTCCGCAACTTCGCTTCAGCCCCAAGTGTTTGCGAATTGGTGGAGGTGACAGGCACGGACGAGAAGCGGTGGCTCAGGTTCGGGAGATTCTTCCGTCCTGACAGCGAGAGACTCCAGGAGGAGGTGCCCTTCGCCTGCCTGGCCGCACCAATTGGCGGAAGCTGCGAGGGGCGGGTCTTCGTGCACTTACCCCTCCCGGAGAAGACGGGTTTGCCTGTACACCTGCATGCCGGATTCTGGGTTCTTGTTATTTAAATTATGTTACCAGAATAAGGAAGCCCTATTATGTACTATAGATCCCCATTATGGTAATTTAAATTAAATTCCCTAACTAAGAGCCCAGGATTGGTCCTGAGTGACAACCGTCGAAGCTTCTGGCGTCTCGAGGGCGACCTCGAGGGCCAGCACACCGCCTGGGCGGAATGGAACGAGCACGTTCTGCAGCAAGTGCCTAGGTAGGCCCATAAGGGACATTTTTTATAGTTTTCCCTTATTGGGCTTAAGGGAATCTTACTTACGAATATTTTTGTTTAGGGGCTTCAAAGGGCCAACCTAGGTGCTTCCCGACGTCTACGCAGAGCTTTTGGAATCCTTGGCGAGGGAGGAGGTGATGAAGTTCACAGAAGAGGAACTCTACCGACTCTGGCCTGGGGCAGCGAACAAGCACAACGTCGAGGCCAGGCTCGTTTACATGAATGCCCGTGGGTCCTTCACGAAACGGCCAGGTCTTCTATGAGCATTTTGTCCTCAAGATCAAGGAGAGGAAGGTTCTCTTTGCCGATGGCAGGCTTGTTTCTCCGACGGAGGCCATTCTCCTGTCCACTCCGACGGAGGCGGGGGGGGGGAGGTGTCTTGGAAGCCTTTCTCCTTCATCTGAAGCATCTCGAGCTTTCAAGTCGGCTTTAAGGCCATGTCCCCTTCTGCGCAGGCCCTGCAGGGATGCCGGAGGATGCTGGAACGGTCCTGTTGGGATGCTGGGCACAACTTGGTCGAGATGCCCGAGCACGTGGAAGATCTGCTGAAGGCATCCCCGATCTTCATGACTTGCAACCTCCAGCCTCCTTGTTCCCGAAAACTTGACCTGCGCTTGCGTGTTTGGGTAGTAGCATCGATTAAGCAAATTCCGTCAAGCAGAGTAGCAGGTAGTACCAGTCCCGTCAATTACGCATTCTGCCCCACACCCAAAGCAAAACAGTGATCAATTGTGTGGCTTGTCTCTCAGATCATGTTTGCGCTTTTGGCCTGATGGCCTGCGCCTGTGCTTCTGAGCCCACTCAAGAAGTCTAGGAACCGATGCTCATCCCTCCACCCGGCGAGGGACCAGGATGTGGATGTTACACCAACCATTGCGGCAGGCTTGGGGATTTCCGCTTGGCGACAACTAGCAACATGGTTGCGGCAACGTCTCCTGTCTGGGGCGCAAATCCAAAATCGAAGAACCGTCCCAGCTCTGAGTTTCTCAAGACTTGACATCGGGCAATTCGCTCGAAGCGGTGGATGAGTGCTGCGGGGCTGGACCACATGGGCCCGTCCGGCCGAAGAGGAAAGATGATGTGATCTGGTTGACGGGTGTTAGGGTGATGTCACTGGTTGCAAAGGGAGATGAACTGAAGCCGGATTCGTGGCATCGTGCCTTTAGCACGCGGTCATGTCATGCGGCTGTGCCGAGCAGCAGCACAGCTGTGTAATGATTGGGCCGTCAAGACTAATCGGGCGAACACACGCTGCAATTCAGAGACGCTCTCGGCACATGTAGGTGCTCGCAGTGCATTGGCTCGTCAAACTGAACTTGAAAAGACGCGGGACACCAGTATGGGACTTATGGGACTCGCGACGTGGATCGCAGCTGACATCATACTGGTACGTCGGCAGCAGCACTCAGGGACAGTCACGTGCCTTCACGGACACGGTTTTCCTACCCGAACTCCGGAGCTTTTCATCACTCTAATATCAATGAGTGAGCCCAGACAGCAGCACATGAAGGCTGAGCTGTGCAGAGAGCCGGTTGCAGACACAGCATGAGTTGCTTTCGGCCCGACACTGAGCACGATTCCAGTCTGTCGCAGGAGTATGATGCGATTGACTGCCGGGATTGCCTGTGGGCATTCGAGGAGGTAGCTAAGCTTATTTGAGCGGTGACTTCTTTGTCAGGAACATGCCTCAAAATTCGAGAGATTCCTGAAGAGTGTCCCAACTTGGACAGAGGGCGGAGAGCTTCCAGGTCCCATCCCATGTTTAGTCGGTGTTGCCTCAGGTTCTTCTACCACGCATCCAACAGATTTCGGAAGACGACCTGATCCCTTTTGTCTTGGCGCTACTGCACTGGGGCAAGGCACACCTGCCCTCCCATGTTGCCCTTTGCATTCGAAGCCGATGGTTGCAAGACATCTCTGGCGCTTGCCCTTTGTGCTTGCCTGCAGATGAACTTCAACTCCGAGATGATGTCGAAGCTGTCTGACTTGCTGCAGCGCGCAAAATGGATTCCAACATCCTGCGGAAAGCGCCTCGGCAGCTGAGCTTCGAGGCTTCAGGGCTTCCACGAGCTTCTGGGTCTTGCAGTGTTATGTTCTGGAAGATCCCAGCCCAACTGAGGCTTGTCTCCATTCCGGATGCCTTTGATCCCTTTGCGACTTTGCCAGATCTTGCGGCGGCTCGGCGATTTCTTAAATTTATGGCTCACATTGCTCATGTTTGGTCAAACGAAGGGCTGGTAGAAGTCCAGGTTTCACCACCATCATCATCATCATCATCATCAATAACAGCTCCTGTTTCACGAGCGGCATCCTCTTCTTCATCTTCCGGTGATGGTGACTTGTGCGAGGATGTTCACTGAGGGGAAGGAACGCTCTGGAAATGCTTAAGAGGAAGATGAACACGGAGATCTCATGTGGCTGCTGCTCCCGTAGGGACGGTGATGATTATCCTGGTGGCGATTCGAACGATGTCTGCACCTGCACGTGCCTGGATGCATCGGCACAGCCTCTACGCGACGACTGCACAAAACGACGGCCAACCTGTTCTGCTTTGCACTTGTGCCAGCTGGGATTGCAGGAGGGGTCTGTTTGTGCCGAAAAATCCACATGGTAACATCCCAAGCAAGTCAAACCACGCTTTTCACCAGAATCCCACTCCGTCCTCGGCCTCACCTGCCATAATTTCTCGAGTCCATCATGCACACCTCTTAGGGCTTGAGCCTACGCTGTGAAGGACATGCCAGCATGCGATTGAACCCCACCTGTCTACACAGTTCAAGACCACTGCGACATCTCGATCAGGTGGTTTGTGACCATCAGCCAGCATTGCAGCAGTGGTTGACGCCATTTGGAGAAGAAGATGCATCTGGCATCCGTTTAGCCGCCCAGACCCACAACCCGAAACCTAAACTCCAGCCCGTCTTAAGACGCTTCTCGAGCGGGGCTTTTGCTTCTTTTGCAACCTTTGAGGTGAGAATCCCACACATCATGCAGGGCAAATGTGTTGTGTATTGGGCGGTTTGACCCACCCCTCTTGCGTCGTTCTTGGGGTACTGTAGCCGCCGGCGCACTGGTTGCGACCATGAAGAGCATGTGCGGCTGCATATAGCGCAAATCTCCGCCGGTCAGGTAAAGAGGATCTGGGATGCACTCCGCTACTGTGGTTTGAAGCGCCAGCTGACATGGCGCCTGGCCATCATCTTGAGTGGATTTTGTCTGACTTTGGTGGGTTTTCAACTTGCCGCATGCCCACAGTTCAGTCCAGTTTTTTGTCTCGCAGAGCTGGCTTCGGGGTGGCTTGAAAAGCTCTAGATGCCTGACTTCGTGTGGCTGCGACAGAGCCCAGCAACAACAGATATGTAGAAGCTTCGAGGAAAGATGCTGCGGTGGAGGCTCAGCTTGCAGCAGAAAGCTGCGACCACAGTCGTGCGAAGCTTCTCTTCGCATACTTGGAGGACTCCTCGCTGCTTTGAGCCCTTGCATTCGTCACGAGGGTGTAAGGAAAGCTCTCGATGGTGCACTCCAGACAGGCCGCCAATGCCTCAGACTCAGATCCTTGTGCCCCTGAGCCCTCTTGCAGGACAGCCACCAGAAGATGGAGAAAGAAGAGGAGCAGGACCCACCCGTGCTGTAACAGTTGTTTCGAGCACTTGGAGCCACGCAGCAAAAAGGCAGTGCAAGCTGTGGCATTCTCCCCTGATCTGGACCACAGAAAACCGGAGGAGAGCTTGAAGGTGCTGCAGACTGCAGCCTGGGTCCCGGCATCCGCGCCGCAGCAGCCGGAAGACAGGCTTCTGGGGCGTAATCCCGACGCTGGGCGCATGAGAGCTTGCAGGGCGCAGGCCAGGCAGGTGAGGCGATAGGAAACGGCTTGGAAGGATATCTTTGCAAGTCTGGAATCTAGTGCATCGAGGACAGCCTCTAGTTGTGGCCTTGTCTTCAGCGCTCCCGAAGCCCTTTGCAAGGACATGCAGCTGAGCGCCCTTTCGGAGCTCTTTCCGCAAGCTGACTTGGGCGTGGTTTGGGCAGTAGCTGGGCTGCGTCGAGTCCTCGCCTTCTCTGGGTCCGAACTGAAGGATGCTGGGATTCTGGGTGCAGAATTCGTCCTAAACAGATGCTGAGTCAGTGCTAGGACTCACCAGACTCATTGTGTGGCGATTGCTAGGAAGAGTGTGCTACACTTCAATAGGCCCAATGAGCTGCTGCCTGAGGTGGCGCCGACGCTGCATGCCGATCCTCAGCTGTGTTGCAAGCGCGCAGAACACATATTCTCGTTCTTGAGCTCGAGACTTCAAGCCCAAATGGTGCCCTTGCGGTTCATTCTCCGCTGTGCCCTCCTGGTCCATTGCGATCTCATGCGTTTTTAGGGTCGCACGCTGCGGCACTTTCACCTCCAAACTTTGACACAGCAATAGCGCTGATCCGGCTTATCCACAAGCCCCACAAACTGACAAAGCCCTGCACACCCAGAAAGCCCTGAAGCTTTGCGTCTATCGATGGAATACCGAGGAATTACCTGACCCCAGCCTACTGCGACCCAGGCGACTGGCAACCAGGCATGCAGAGCCGGTGAGTTTTGATGGGCTTTGCGGTCGTGAGCGGTCCAAAAGGGGGGTGGCGTGAGAAGGTTGCGGCTTCAGGGTTTCTGGACGGGCGGAAGAAGCTGAACCAAGGTAGGGAGCTGTCCGCAAGAAAAGAAGGGTACGAAGATGTAATGAAGGTGAATCTTCAGAGGCCGGAACCCCAAAGAAAGAAATCCCCATCTCCGACCAGTTGTAGTTTTGTGGCATATGGTGATCATGCGATGGGGTACTGCAAGCTTGACAGCCCGGCTTGTGCATCACATCGAGGGTTGGCTGAGGTAAAGGACGAGCCCAGCATCTTGATTGAGCAGCTGAAGGCTTGCGCCAGGCGGGGCTTTCAGGACCAATCACTTTGGCCTCGTTCGGTCTTTCCCATGTTTCTCGCCTGAGGGCATGCCCGGAAATGGAGATCGCAAGAGAGGGCCCGGAGCAGCCGCTCGAATCGCTCTCGGTGGTTCAGGTTTGTTTGCCCGCGCTTTTCTCAAGGGAGTCCCCCGTGACATCGATGACACACTCTCTCTAGCGGATTTGCGCAGACAAATGTGAGGTATCCGCGTCCACGCCGGGTGCCTGAATCACTCTGGCATGCACTGCGGGAGCTCTTCAAAGCCATGGTTCTCCACAAGAACAGTATTCAGGAGGAGCTGCAGGAGGTGGGTTTCCGAGAAGCTTGCATTCCGTGCCTGGCAGCGGACTCGGAGTCGTTGGCTTCATTGTACGCCTTGCCCTGCGTGGCCCTCACAGCGAAGAGCAGTGCGGAAGTCTTGGCCCCGGCGGTTGGGCTCCTGCATCCGGACGAGGACGTGAAGCAGCTCGCGAAGGTTTGGAAAGTTGCCCCGAAACCTCCAAACTCCGTGCTGGCGAATTTCTCGCCACATCTGGGACTCGAGAAGGCGGCTGCTTTCTGCACGGAGCTCGCAAGCTGGCTGTCTCTGTCTCGGAGGGAATTCTTCGAGAACCTCAGGGTCCCCACCAGCAGCGGAAGGCTGCTCTCGCCATCGGAGGTGTATATAGATGATGCGCAGTGGACGAGCAGCCGAGATCTCGAGACGGTGAGCTCAGCAATATCGCCCAAGCACGCCCGGCTCTTGGGATGCACCTCCATCAGGGACAAGCTCGCTGAAGAGTGTGAAGATGCTACCGACGAGGATGGCTTTGGACAAGAAGCTGATTTGGTCGATCAAGTGAAGCTCGTGCAATCACCAGTGCGAAGTGCTTTCATTCACACGTGTAAGGTGTCAGATTTTTTACGTTCGCTGAACGCTGAACATCCTTAAGGAAGCTACTCTTGGACGACTACAGTTCACAGAGTGATGTGGTCGCTGAGTTTTTCCAGAATGCAGATGACCATGGTGCAGAGTCCCTGACTTTCATCCTCTGCGATCAGCAGCATCCAGATGAGAAGATCGTGGACGGGCGCTGCAAGGGCTTGCAGGGGCCGGCACTCTACATTTGCTCTGACAAGGAGTTATCTAACGAGGACATCAGGCATATGCAGCGGGTGGGTCGATCTTCCAAGCGCTGGGACTTCCGCTCCACAGGTCGTTTTGGCATCGGGCTGAATGTCATGTACAAGTACTCTGACTGTCCGCAGTTGCTGGCGAATGGCTACTTGCATTTTTTCGATCTCAGCAGATGCTTCGTAGCCAGAGACGGACAACGCCGTGGCAAGAGGTTTCAGGTAGAGAGGCTGAAGGACCGCTTTCCTGACACGCTCGCCCCCTTCAAAGGGCAGTTCGAGAAGTATGCGGTGGTGTTTCGACTGCCCCTGCGAGTAGAAAGATCCGAATTGGCCGAGAAGTGCTCCTACGGAGATGCGGAGAGAGACCTCCGGTCGGTCGCAGAAGGAGCTGACTCCATGCTCTTCTTTGCACAGTCCATCAAGAGCCTGTCTTTCATTGCCAAGGAGTGCACGATTGCGAGGCACTCGGTGACATTTCCAGAAGAATCGGACGAAGACCTGCTGGAGAACTTCCTGACAACTCTTCCGGATTCGAAGGACGAAGCCACAGGCGAAGGAGAAGACCGCCAGCTGACCGTCGTGAAGCGCTTGCGGAGTCACTTGTCTGTCCGATACTTGCGCCCAACCTCCACATCTTCACCAAAGAATTGAAAGCGTCTATGCCCCGTAGCACAGTGATTCACTCTTGCCTCCCTTGTTTGGAACTCCGCGCCAGGGTCTTTTTCTGGGCCTGCAACATGACATGTCATCGCCGACATGGCCAGTTGACGCTGTTTTGTTGGGGTCCAACCCAAGGTGACACAGGCACACCAGCGACAACACGGCAGCGAGACTGGGTGGTCGCTTACACACTGAAGTGCCTCGGCTCCGGCACTTCAGTGTGTCCCGGCAAACCTCCGAGAACCTCTCGAAAGCCAGAAAGCCAGAACTCATCGAATGTGCCGATTTCCACATCCCAGAGCGACAGTGACAATGAGATATAGGGTACCCGAGAACACCACCAGAAGCGAGGCTATCTTCGCAGAGGTTGCGCATGCTGAGCCGCGACATTTACGAAGAGGTGGGGACTTGGGAGTGCAAGTAAGCGTAGGATGAAGGGCTGTGGGCTCCGTGCTGTCGCGAGGTTTTCGGTTCGGGATCTTGGGAATGGGTGTTGGTATCGTGTCGGTTTCAAGTCATACAAGCCTTCAGGCTTTGGGATAAGAGGGGGTTTGCGCGTGGCTGCAGCTCGGCCGAGGTGCATGGCTCCGCGCTGCTTCCTATGGGTGCCTTTGCGCTAGCAGCACTAGCGAAGTCTTTGAATCTACGGTTGCCAAAGACTAATTTAGAGGCCTTGAACCTAAGCCGAGGGGCGGCAGCAGCACCCTTGCTTACCAGCGAAGAGAGCTCCGGGCGTCTCTGCTGCGGGCTGCCGACTCCTTTAGCGCACCTCTGCGATGATCAGACCAGACCGTCAACTACACCCTAAACCCCATGGTTTCCTTTTAGTCCTTAGGGCATGCGGTGTTCATGGTCTTGATCCTGTACGGTCTACGGTTCAGGTTCCAGGCGAAATGCCAAGCAGCATCCTGTGTTGTGTCGGAGAAACCCGTCGAAACCGTAGAGTCTAACCCTTCGATAGGCACCTGACAGGCCTGTCAAGGCTCTCCTGAGGTTACGGAATCGGAGCTCAAGAAAAAGGTACTCCAAAAAATCCTTTCGACGTCAGAGGGGCATGTTTCTGCCAGCTTAGGACTGGTTGCCGCTCCTGGATCCACGGCAGTTTCGTCCTGGGCTCCAGTCGTCCCTCAGAAGCAGCTCGCAGTCTTCCTAGACAATCCTAGACAGGAAGCTAAACGGTTGTTGGTCATGTTGTCCGCGGGGCTGAACTGTTTGTCTGCAAAGAGGATTTAGCATGGACTGTGAGGCTTTCAGGTCATGCTGGATTGCGACTTCTTTGACTTTTTAAAACCCAAGGAAAGGTCCTTCCTTTGCCAGACAGAAACGATTCGGGGAAAGATCGGCAATGGAACCAGGAGCTCCTGCTCCTTGACAGATCATTTTCTAGGCCAGGCATTGTAGGGTTTAGGGTTGGGGGTTTAGGATTTAGGGTTTAAGAGCCTTCATGGAACTGACATCTCTGGTCCGGCTACGGAAACGAACCCCCCCAACTCTCTGAGCCTGGAAGATCTGAGGAAAGTTCCAGTGGCAGACAGCATACGACTTCTGCTACTCAGGTGCCGCGATCACGTGGAGACTTCTGACCACGTGCCAGAGTTTTTCAAGCTCCTACCCCTCCAAGAAGGTGTTTTTCAGCTCATCGCCGAGGCGGCGATGAGGGCAGTGTTGGCAGATCCAATCTTCCCGGTTTTGTCACAGCAAGGCAGAAGCGACCGCGCCGCTGTTCGTGTTTGGGTGAGAGGCCCAAGCATTCTTCTCCAAACCAAGCGGCTTTCCGAGTCGATCCAGTTTCGCCTGGCTTCTGATGGCCTTGAAATTGTGTCTTTGCCAGAAGCAGTGCGTGAGCTCTATGCAAAAGTTGCGGATGAGATACAGGAGCTGAATGCAGACAGCCTGTGCAGGTTTTTGCAGGAAGCATGGGCTACTAAACACCCCGACTCTCAGCCGGTGCAGGTGTCACAGGCAGGGTTCGCGGCACTCTCCAATCATGGGGATGCTTGTGCTCTGCTGTCCTTCGTCGTGAAAGACGCATGGGAGAATGACTTAGAACAGGGATATTACAAGACCACTTTCACATGTGCACAGCTCCGCGACGTTCCATTGATGGTGACGGGGGACGACGAGATCTGCACCTTCGATGACGGGGCCCCGAAGTGGCTTGGCCCGCAAACACGCGCTAGGTCCAGTTCGCTCAAGAGGATAGAAAACCTGCATGCCCTGCTGTACCACATAATAAGGTTCTCCGCTGGCCGAGACCTTCTCCCAAACAACCCCGGCCTCTTCGTCCACAGTGACATAATGGAAGTCTTCCGCACAGCAAATCTCACCCAGCCAGGGGTTTCTCGGAGAGTGTCCATGAAGCCGGTGGGCGTGCAGCCTTTCACTCTTAATGATCTACTGAAGCACAGAGAGCAGATCGAAAGTCAAGTTCTGCAGCTTGGGCCCAGCTACCGCGAGGAGCTGTGGTCATTCTTGCGCAGAGTTCGCCGCTTTTCATCCGATTGGTTCCAGCGGCTGGGGGACTGGCGCATTCTGCCGGTGGAAAGCCCGAATGATAGCCTTGAGCTCGTGCCCTTAAGTTCAGCTCGGCAATCGGTCAGGGCGGGAGAGTATGAGCATTTGCAGGAGGTGCTCGAGAAGTGCAGCATCCACACTTTGCAGACAGGGTTTCGCGACGATCTCGTGAGCGATTATTTGGTGTCGGAGGATTCCTCATGACCGGAGGAGCTACGCACGATTCAGTAGACATCAAGAAAGCGTTGCAGTCGGCTGCAGAGCTGCCCCTGTTCCTGAAAGCCCAGGGTGCAGATGATGGCTCTTTCGCCGGACTTGCTGGCGAAAGGGCGAAGTATTGCTGCTTGCACCCCGACGACCCCCATGCAGCTCAGCTGGAGAAACTGATGCCGTCGACAGTCACCCTTCTGTCGTGGCCGACGCGAGAAGCGAAGCCTATCTACGAGTTCTATGAGATTCGGGTCTGCAACGGAGAGGAGTTCATGATCGAGTTCGTACTACCTTGCATTCCAGAAGCCTGCAAATCGCCTGAGACAGCTAAGCCTTACTTGGAGCTGCTATACGCCTATGTTGTGGAGGAGGAGTCACACAGAGTCACCAAGGCTGCTAGGGACTTGGCTTTTGTGCCCGATGATGAATCGAACCTGCGTCGTTCGACAGAGCTGCTTGATCCGATGCTCACAGTGGCAGGGCTCTTCAGCCATGTTCTGGCAGCTAGCCTTCCGGCAAAGTGGCTGAGGAATGAGAGATCTGTGAGCCTCTTGAAAAAGCTTGGGCTGATGAGCGCTCCGTCACTGAAAGCTCTCGTCTGTTGTGCCCGCCATTTGGATTCCTTGAAGCTTAAGCCGATGACACCGGAAATCAGGAAGCTGTCCTTCCACCTGGTTGAGGCGGTGGCTCACTGGCTTTTTTCTTCTCAGCATTGGCTTAATTTACCAGATGTTCTGCTTGTGTCCCAATTTCACATCGTGGTGACAAGGGACCTTCGGAGCAGCCTGCAGCAGGAAGCAGAGCGATGCCTGCGGGTAAGCGATCTCGATTTTTTTGCGGCCTCTGAAGGCGGGGAAGGTGATGGCATTCTGAAGCTGCGACCCTTCGGGGGAACAGCTTTTGGCGCGTCTCGACAAGTACTTTGGAGCGTTTGCCCAATATCTGCCCACAAAGATCCAGAATTAGGCGTGCCAGCTGCAGATCATGCGCAGTCCAAGCCACAACTGGATCTTGCCCTTGAGCAACCTACGGTTTCAGAGGCGCTTCAAGACAAACTGGGAGCATATGTGTCTACCTCAAAAGTTGAGCCAACACTGGTACTTGTGCACATGCAGAACCTCTGCCGCCACCCCCACCCAAACTCTGACAAGCTACAGTTTCCGAAATCGTCGGCTTTCAACGAGCACCTCGTGGAATGCTGGGAGTTGCTGCAGAAGGCAAGTTCGGAGTTTCTCGAGCGTGACTTGGGGGAAGCACTGTTTTTAAGCCTAGCTCGTGCTCCGAACCACGAGTGCTTCGTGTTGATGCCCCTTCGTCGGCTTAGAGAATCTCCAGCGATCTCCCCCAAAATACCTCTTGGCCTCTTGGAGTTCTTTCATATATCGGGATGACTTGTTGTTATGTTTGCTCGACTGCTAGCGTCTTCTCCTTATGTCTTCTCCTTGTTGCAATGTTGTCGTTCCTTGCTGAGTCTTGTCGTGTGTCATTGGTCTTCTCAGCACTCTCGTCTCGTTCCTCCTCGCTCATGCATGCATCTAGCTCGCTTCGCCGCCGTGTTTATGCTTTCTGGATTGGATGCATGCATAGATGTGGGCATGCATCAGAATCAGAATCATCAACTACGATTTTGACCTCATTTTTCCAGAGCCTTCACTGCGGTGAGTCACACTTCTCTGCAGGACTCAGGAAGTGTCGCAAATTCTTCCGACAGTTTTGCTGATCTCCGCTGCGCTGCTCGGCTTTGATGCAGGAACGTGGAGGTTTGGCATAAGCCCGGCAAGCCCTTTTGGCAGACAGACGTCTTCCTGTGAACGCTGTGGAAAGGTTCTCAACCTCACTGCTGTACAAATTGGGAACGTTCTAGTTCTAGCTGAGCGAATCCTTGGAGCCTGCGGATGCCTCAAGCATGGTCATGGGAGTTGTGGGTAGGGTCGGGTTGTTTGACTTCCCATTCTTTCGAGCACCGCTGAACAAAGGTCAAGCTTCAGGAGGGGGACGCAGCCGACCGCCCGAAGAATGATATGGTGACTCTGGCAAGCCCCAGGAAATCTTGGCTTGCATGAGCATGTAGATTCGACCACAGGAAATGTGCTTCGGTGGGCTCTGTGACGAGTGCTCGGGGCGCGAGGTCTTGTTTTGAAGTCCCTGGCACCAGGAGATGCTTCTTGTTCAGCAGCGGTTCGTACAGAGCTTCCGACTTCCATGGGTACCTTCTCCAGGCTGACAGGACCAAGGAGGACGCCTTTCATGTCATGGTTCAGGGATCGATCGCAGGAAAAGCGGCCAGTGGCCAAGCCTTCAGCACATAGTGACATAGTGGCGTGGTTGGAAGCGGGTCTTCACGATGTTTGGTAGGGTAGTTAGCGATTCTTGGTGTATGTCACGGCTGCAGCTGCGACTCCAGATGGTGCCATGGAGTGCATTGTAGTTGCGCTGTCATGAACAGCAGACGCTGAAGGACCTCTGGTCTTCCCTGGGAGTGCGTGCAGACCCGGGCATTCAAGACTTTGCAATGGTGACCCGCGAAGTGGCGGCCAACATGGAGGGCAGGGCCGCAATGGAGCAGGAGCTTCAGGTTCTGGAGACCTGCTTGAGTGGCGTGCATGACTGTGTCCCGTGGCCTGCAATAGGGACGGACATGCAGCCACGGGCTGCTTCCCTGCAGCCGCCAGAGATTCAACAACTAATTACTCATGACGGAGCGTCTCTTGCCAGCCGACTTGTCAAGGTCTTGTCGAATGTGTAGGTAGTCGATTGAAGTGACCATGTTCCGAGTTGTTATTTGGATCTTACTGCTGTCGGCCAGGCGAGATTTTGAATCAGAGCTCCGCGTCGGAAATGATTCTACGAGCCTAACATCCGAGGTTTCAAACCCAGAGAACTGCACGGAGCTGCCCTTGTCGGAGGATTTCTTCTGGTTGGATCGAGACAAGCGGCATCTTCGCCTGTTAAGCATAGAGCTGTTGGGTGTAGATGGCCTGAAGCAGAGAGTGCAACGGGCCTTCGGAGCACTTTCTGCCTTCTACGCGCCTGTGGCTGTGCCTCAATATCCGAGAGCTTCTTGCGAGGGGTACCTGGATTGCTGTTTTTGCCCTTCGGGAAGCCGACACCGAGGCTGGTGGAAGCCTCAAAGCTTCACTGGATGGACGTGCCATCCTGGAAGTCACGAGTGCAGGACCGGGGCTTTGGGGCTGCGTTTCCCACTAAGCTTCGCCAGTGGCATTTCAAGCAGACCATTGGGCAGTCGGCAAATGCTGAAAGGAGTCCGGCCTTCATTTCTGCCAGGCGAAGAAGACAGGCCATGTCTAGCAGCAGCCCTTAGGCCGAGAATGCAGTCGGCGTAATGTGCCAGGCCACAGGCCTGTGAGGATTAGGACCCCATGATATCTCGCATATCGATCGCTCATAGGATCGCCTCAAGGCTCCAAGCTTTTCAATGCCCCCCCCGGCTGTCAGGCGATCAAGATCCCCTCTTCGAAGCCCTGGCGAGGGCCTTCGGCTTGCGGAAGCTTTCAGCCACCGCGTCCCGGATGAACCTCAGATTTCGGGGTTTTTGTCGACTTGGGAAGCTTGGGACTTCAGCTTTGTCCTGTTGCGACATGGAATCACAAGCAGCACCCCCCCCCCCCTCCCAAGCCGGAGTTTTGTGAAAAAAAGCGCGAAGAGTTGCGCGAACATCCCGTGGATTGGTTGACTTTTGACACTAGTATCTGGCATCGGCAGCCGCGATAACTTAGGACTTAGAGACTTAGGGCTTGTGGGGCCATGGTTTTGGCACGACTTCCCATATACTGTATGGTCTGCCAATTTTCGTAGAGCTCCACGGGACACCCCAATTCAGCCATACACTGCATGTACTTCAGGACATGGGCACCCCGTACTTTGCATCGCTTCAATTTCCGGTTTCACTATACCAGTATACAGTATAGCATTGGTATCCTCGTCTGTGTCCTGAGAGTCGTCTCACAAGGCAAGAAGGGCAGCGATTATCTAGAAATCTGGATCGAGCGTCCGCAGTTTCGAGACACCTTGCTTTCGCCAGTTGCCAAAGATCAGATCTGAAGGTCCCGTCAGATCACCAACCCGACCAGGCAGCATCTTTCCAAATCCAGATCTCTACGGCACGCAGTCGAAACACTGAAGACGGAGCTTTTTAAAGGACACCTTATTAACCCCTTTCAACCGAAACTCCGAACCCTAAACCCTGAATAAAACAATCCCCTGACCTCTTTTGATACATCTCTACATCGCCCATGGGATGTCAAACCTCCTGACCCGTCTGGGAAGGTCGCGGAGCGCCCGGCCAAAGCGCTGCCTGCCAGCTCTGAGGCTCCGGAGGAAAAGCCGGGTGGCATCAAGGACGTCTTTTTGGGGTTTCAGGGAGGCCTCCTCGAAGCGTAGGGAGAGTGCGTGAGGGGGCTTAGGATGCTGGGCTTTCGATCTTCGAAGCCTGGAGCTCTGCAAAAAATTGCATGCTCTGCAGCTTGAAGGATGCCATTCGTGCGCTCGTCACCTCTCCCAGCTTTGCGGCAGCGTTGCAGGCTGCATCCAGTCTGTGCTGCTCCTGTGAGTTACTTTGGAGTTTGCTTTTTTGCGCACCCCTGGATTGATGAATGTTCCCAGATTGGCAGGCGATTGCTGAAAGCATTCAGGAAGAGCCGCCTGAGGAGGTCAAGACACTTCTGCAAGAAAGGTGCAGCCAGCTCACGTTTGCCGCCGTGCCGAAACACTTGGAAACCGCACTTTATCTCGATGACGCGGAGCTGACTGGCAGCAGGCAAAAAGTTTGTGTTTGTTGGAATACTGCTTCGGACACCATCTTTGTCAGCGATGACGCTTTCATAGAGAAGGAGAAGACCGTGAAGGAGCTCGCGGCTATTTTTCAGCGCTTCGTGCCAGAGCTTGCTTCCCGCCTGAAGGATTCGAAAGCCAGGTCTCCGTTGGAGTCAATCATGGAATGTGCCTTCGACAGCGGGCCGGATGGAATCGCTGCTGTCCTGGCCGAGCATGAGATCGAAGCCACGCTGACGGATACTTGTAGCAAGGTCATCTCCTGTGGAGACGAGCTCCCTGACGAGGTGTCACAGCGTCTGGTTCAGTCAATGAGCCAGACCTTTTTGGTTGATGAGTATGTCGCCCTTCGCGGTGAAGATGACCGTTATCTGCTTGGACAAATCATGGAATGGGAGGAGTCAGTGGCACCCGACGAGGTCTATCGACCTAGCCTGATGCGGCAGTACCTTGTTCGTCTAGACAAGCCCCGCAGAGTGTATTACGTGGACATCTACAAGATACAAGGCGGTACGACCGGCGCAGGGCATGAGCCCACATCTTGCAAAGAGATCCAGGTCGGCACAGGCGTTTCGAATGGGGAAGACGAATTCGTGCCAGCAGGCGCAGATTCGGAGCAAGAGCTTGAGAGAGTGAAGCAGCAGCTGCGTGAGATGTCCGAGATGTCTGAGCAAGACTACAAAAAATCAGTGCGACGACTCTACCGGGAATGGCATCCGGACACAGTCGGGAACACGGAATTCAACAACATGATGTTCCGCATGATCAAGCGACACGTTAAATGGTTCCAGAATGGACGTCACGGCAATCAGGACTGGCTTGATGGCTACAATGTCGGACAGGAGCCAGCGGAAGCCACAGCATCAGCATTCAAGCGGAGGAAGAGCGAGGCCAGCAAGCCTGGTGAAGACGATGACGAGGCCGAGAGGTATCCTAAAGCTTCAAAAACCCTTGTGTCACTTAGACCCTTAGAAAATTCTCATGATTAAACGAGGTATTCTGAATCCAAAATGGCCATGGTGCAGTTGGTCGCAAATCGCAGCAGCTCTCGCCGCCGTGGCAGTGGCTGTTGTCGTTGGTTTTTGTTCCTGCTTCTTCTTTTTTTCTGACTGCACTTCTTGTAGCTCTTTCTTGTTGTGACAGGAGTAGCTCGTCGTCGTGGTCGTGTCGTCGTTGGGTAGTGCGCTACGAGTGGTGCGAGGAGGAGGAGGCCTGGAGGCCTGCGGCAGACCTTGAGCCTGAGGACTTCGAAAACTCTGAGAACGAATGGTCAAGCAGGGCTCAGCCTTGAGGATTTCGGGCCGAGACCCTGTAAGTTTCGTGAAGCTGGCTGAACCCCTCGCCTTCAGCAGAGGCCCCGAACTCCGTGTTGAGCCAGGCAGAGCGCCAGAACACCAAGTCTGCCCATCGGCCGCGAAGCCAGCCATCGCAGCAGGCGAGCGCCCCAAGGGCGCGTGAAGCGGGTGTGCAAAGGGTTCTCCGTTGCTTGTTTATTCTTTAAACACCCAGTGTAGATTAGCTTGAGAAGGGCAAAAGCAAGATGATGTTGATGTCGTGGATGCATATTGTGACGGAGACGATTGCGTCAGGGAGGAAGGCGATGATGCGCAAAGATAGATAAAGTAAACGACAGTCGGCTTCCTTGCCTTGCAGGTATCTTCGAGGACGCAAACTAAACATGCGCTAGTACCAATCACAATCGGATGAGCCTTTGCGAACTTTGCGAAGCTATGTCAGGAGGAGCACAGACATGAGAACGAACTGGCCGGTTAAACTGCAAGTGCTAAGCTGACGCAAAGGGCGTCTTGCCATGAGGCCTTACCCCGATGTTGTGATAAGAGCTTCGTGGCTCGAGTTGTATGCTGGCATGTGGCATTCCTTTCTTTCGAGGTTTGGCGACAGAAAGGGTCCAGGTTGTCAAGAACGAGGGTTGATCCGGCGCCATGGTAGCCGAAACCGATTTCGAGAGTCGCAAAGCTCGAACTGGTGCTGCTCGTCCAGTCTTGCCAGGTTTCCTGGTTTGAGGAGTTCGACAGAGAGGTGAGAAGGAATCTTCATACCGAAGCCACCTCCAGGCTGGGAATCTGTGGCCTTGAGCAGCATTGAAAGGCATGGGGCAGCCACGGGACATTTTTTACATACACATAAACACACACTCACTCACTCACTCACTCACTCACTCACTCACTCACTCACTCACTCCCTCGCTCACTCACTCACTCGCTCACTCACTCACTCACACACGCACACACACAGAGACAGACAGACACACCGTGGAGCGCAGAGATCACGAATGCAGAAGCCTGACGAGTGCCTTGACATGTGCTGCAGGAAAGTGGCAGCCCCGCCAACGTTCGTGCCAAGCCGCCCGCCAGTATGGCAACCTCCGAGGCCGTAGATTTGACTTCTCCGTTCATATGAAAGACCCTTTTTGCAGAAGGTATCAGATGGCCTCTTCATTCTGCATGAAAATCTCTGTCTCAGAGCTGAACGCCGGCAGTTGTACATTTGATACATCTGCGTTGCACCGGGTTCTCCTGAGCTTTTGACTTGAGCCTTCAGCCTTTCATCGAAGAGCGGAAAGGGGGTAGCTGTTGCAGGAGGATTGACGAGGATGAAGCCTTGACGTGGCTTCGACAAGCAGAGTACGATTTCAAGGCCGAGTTTCGAGTCTGGTGCTACATACTGGTCGACATAAAATGATGGCAATGGCAAGTCTGTCATGGTGCCATCACGCTGGTTCTGCTGTGAGACGCGGGGGCTTCGCTTGTTTCTTCATGCAGACATATAGTCAACTTCATTCATGTTCGCACCGGTCGCCCAGAAGACAATTTCCTTTCTCCCATTTCATCCTTAGGTCTTCCGGCACAGGCACGGAGTGAGATCTCAGAAGTACGCGTCGCGCCCGCCATCAAAAGCGATCCTGTGAGTCGTGCAGGGTGCTCGGACAACAAACATGCCTGCACTAGACCGGAGCGAACCTCGGTCAACAGTCTTCACAAACAAGATATCCTGCTAGACCATGCTGTTCCTGACGCAGAAAGCGTTGATGAAGAGTCGTGTCGTGCTAGTCACTGCTACTGCTAGTCCATGCTGTTCATGACGAGGAATCAAGCTGTGTCGCGCAGACGGTCGCTTCTTGATCTCCCTACTGTAGTTAGTCGTGTGACAGCGTTGGGAGCCTGTGCAGGCCCTGGAAGAGCTATTATGGTCCACCGAGCGAGTCCATGCCCATGTGGTTTGGCATGCACACCAGGCACGCGACAGTGCTTGTCATCGCTGGGTCGGAACCGAAGCAAATGTTGGTTTGTTATGCATAGTTAGCTTTCCTCGCGGCAGGTGGTGGAGAAGGCGTTGAAGTCAGCAATGCTCCGCACCTGTGGCTTGGCGGAAGAGGAATTCACCGGTCACGGCTGCCACGACCTGGCGATGCTCTACGGCCGTCTTGCAAAAGCATCTCCAGAGTCGACTGCGCAGCGGAGAGCGCAGGAGGACTTACCGTCAGACCGTGAGGACATGCGATGGTTGACGGAGGCGTACTTGAGCACGCGTTATCCGAACATGCACAAAGCCGGACAGGTTCCAGCGTTGGCTTATGACAAGCACGACGCCACAAGAGCCGCCCGCACAGCAGAGCAGTTTATTGAGTGGGCCCAATTGCTTGAGGACCTTCCCATTCCTGGGAGCGGCCAAGGGATGCGGAAGAGACCAAGTTCGGTGACGGAACTTTCGGCCGAACCTGCACCGGCACCCCCGAGAGGCCCAAGAGCGCAGGCTTCCAAACCTGAGCACGAGACGCGGTCACCTGCAAGACTTCCGGCTCAGAGACAAAAGGCTTCGAAGCCTTTGCCAGATTCAGCACCCGTCCCCCTGCCACCTGAGTCCTTGCCGCCTCTCGCCACGACACAGCCGTGTGGTCTTCCGGAGGAAGGTGACGTGCAGCAGCTGCCGGAATAAACAAGGGCAGTTTACAGGATCGTTGATTGCAAGGTCCCGAACCTCGTCCTTGCTGCACGCAAAAGTCGTGCAGCGACTTGTAGATTTTTCTTCGCTCTCCAGGCCGTCATCATCGCCTTACTAAAGATTACTCATGACTGCTTACTCCGAACACCTGCCTGCCGAAAGTAACTCCTCGCCCACAGTTCGGTCTTCGGTCTTTTGTGTATACAAGTCTCTCCCACCGAGCCACAGAGGTTGGATAGGAGCTCCTTGATTCGGCCAGAGAGCACGGAATTCGCAGGGAAAGTCCTTGAAATCAGGGGCTGATTACATGCAAGGTATGCAGGATGCATAGCTCTGCTTTCCGGCATTGTAGCCGGCATGAGAGGAGTCGCATCGCCCTCAGAGGACCTGCCGTGCCGCTGGTGCGTTGTCGCAGGCCAGGGTAGACTGTACAGGAGCTTGACGTTGATTTATGGTCATTTCTTTATCGTGACTGAGCCTGGCGCACCAGCTCATTAGGTTGTCTTGTTTCGCACTCTTACCCTGTGGCGCTCATCGCGCGCAGGGAAGAAGTTGTGCTCAAGGCTCAATCTAGACGGCTGAACATGTATGAACTGGCTTTCGACAACTTGGAGAAGGTGTGCGAGCCACAACCCTAGCCGGTGACATGTAAGACTTGGAAGCCAACGACAACAGTCATCCTTGAATGCTTTGATCTGAGCTTGAGGGAAGACCTGCTTTCATGCAGCAAAGATGACTGGCCTGCAACACTTGGCACTGCACTGCACGCGCAGCCTTTCAGTCGCTTAAGACAGGTGCGTGCAGTCCTCAGCCAGAGACAAGCAGAGACAATCAGTCTAAACACTGAACCCTAAAACCCTAAACCTGAAACTCTGAACCCTAAAACCCTAAACCCTAATTACTAAACCCTAAACCCCTAAACCCTAAAACCATAAACCCTGAACCCTACAACCCTAAGCCAGAGGGGCCTAAGGGGAGCTCGCCCGAAGTCCCGAAGTCCCAAGCGCCTGCGCGTTTTCCGGCCTCCGGAGCAATCTAGGTCCTCGTGCGTGCTGACTAATGAGATTATATTGTTTAGGGTTTAGGGGCTTATGGTTTAGGGAGGAGCATCAAAACCCTTCCTGTCTTATCTTCCGTGTGCTGCAGCTTGGCCATGACTTCAGCTGCGCCATGACTTCGAAGGCATCGAATTTGCCCGGCTTGCGCATCCAGCATTGCCAGTTTCGAGGCTTTGTGTGGTTTGGAGTTCATGGGCTCCTCAGATCAGTCTTCACGTGAAGTCTCACCAGCATAAACGTTTCAGTTGTTCGACAAGATGAAGCAGCGTTGGTTCAGAAGGGGTGCCATCCATTGAAAAGTCTTACTTCCCGTAGTTTCAGATGCGTAGGCGCTTGCTCTTCTCTCGTCAGCCATTCCTTCAGGCACTCTCGCATAGCTACGCGCAGATGATCGGCGTTTTTTTGGAAAGCTCAATGCGCATCGGGGCATCCATGAAACTGATCGTCACTAGCACTGCCAAAGGCCATGTCCACACGACGTGATTGTGGCTTGTACAGCGTGCTCGAAGCCGAGACTCCGCGTCGAAAAGCAAGCCAGCACCGTCCTGCTGCGGCTCAGAAGGATTTCTTTGGATTGCATGGGTCTTGGCGAAGAAAGTTGCCCGCAGCGGTTGTTAACACGCAAGTAATGACCTTCTCATGAATATCTGCATCTCTTTGGCAGATTTCAGGACCACCTGTGGAGCTACAGCAGAGATTTGCAATCCTCCAGCCTTGAAGGCCGTAGATGCTATGCAGAAGCAACCTACGGATAGTTGCGAAGTAGTCGTGGTACAGCTCTGTGAGGCGCTGTAGTGATTATTAAACATATGGGGGTTTCCGAAAATAGGGGACCCTAATATAGTACCCTTAATAGTAGGATCCTTATTATAAGCATCCCAAAATAAGGTACCCTAATTTTCGGAAAGTCCCGTATTATGTATGCCGCAAGCTGAGGCCACCAGGGTTTCGAGAAATGCGAACTGCTGCCTCGGCCCCTCAGCAGTAGACGTAGATGTCTCACGACCTCGGGGGGCTTGTTCCGGGTGACAGCGTGCGGCTGCGCCACGGACAGCATCGGAGGCAGGAGTTGGGGTTTAGGGTTTAGGGGTTTAGGGGTTTAGGGGTTTAGGGGTTTAGGTTTCAGGGTTCAGGGTTTAGGGTTGAGGGTTTAGGGTTGGGTAGGTAGTTGAGCGATCAACCAATGTCTGGAGAAGACGCACTCCGTGATCTGAGATTCTTGAAGATGCGATTCATAGCACCAACCTTCATTGCGGTAGCCGGGCAGGTCCCAACATAGCTTGTAAGAGCTTGCAACCTTAGAATTTAGAAACCAATAATTGCCGTCCCTCACAGGGCCGGAGACACCGCAGAGCCATGACAGCCTGGGCCGCAGTTGATCGGAGCTTGCAGGTTGAACAACGCCGTTGATCAGCTGTGCCCTTTTTCTTTGCGTGTGGGTTCCGTGCGATGGTTGTGAGGCGTCTGTGAGCGAACTTTTCGTTGTCTGGTTTCGGCTGCGAGAGGTGATTGTGGGTGGTAGAGTGTCTTCCAAGGAGCTCGATGTGGGCGACTCGCTTCCTCCCTATGCGTCCGAGGTGCCAGTGGCTTCCAGATCATGAAAAATTGCTACTCTCTATCCTTGTGGTTGTTAGCATGTTGAATCAGTTCTCCTGGACTGACTGGGATGTTGCGGGCTTCGCCTCTGTCATGCTCGGTGTGTCGACTGCAAGCGACTTCATGGCCCACCTTTCAAAGCAGGGCTTTCAGGATGCAAGGCTTTGGTGTAGGATCCTACTGTGGCGTGAGTGAGCAAGCTTTTAAGGGCGGACTGGCAGGAACATGTTGCGCAGGTTCATGGGGGTCCCCAATACACTGCTGGCCTCATCTAGAAATGCTGCTGAACGCAGGGGCGATCGTTGGCCGACCATATTTGGAGTGAACACCCGTCTTTTTCCTTGTGGCGTGTCCTGATCCTCGTTGCAGTCACACCAGCAAAGAATTGAATAACCCGAGCAAAATCGGTCCTGCGAGAAGTTGCGGAACTTCATACTGGATTAAACGGAACCTGGTTGAACCCTCGACAAAGCCTGTGAAGCAACCTAATTTGCAATCAACCATGCCCCCATCGCCAAGCCTAAACGGCCCTACGCCCTAGACCCGCAAACTCGACGCTCGTAGGCCTTAAACCTAAACCCTAAACCCCTAAACCCGAAAGGCCCGAAACCCTAAACCCGAAGACCTCCCAAAACCCTTAAACCCCTATATAAACCCCTAAAGCCCTAAACCCCCAAACCCCAAACCGCCCCCGAGACTCCTGACCGAACCTCTGAAGCCCTATGGCGCTGGGCTGTGAGGAGAATAAGAAGCTCGACGCCGAGGTTGGTCGGAGCCAGGGGCCTCCACACCATCCCCCCAAAAAACCTAGCGTAAGGGCTCTTTCGAGGGCGTTATGGAGATGAGTTTCTTCAAGTCTTTCGAAGGGTTTTGCTGATTCAAGATCCATTGCACTCCAACAGGTTCCTTCACGAAGGATCTTTGAATCGAGGGTTTAGGGTGTAGGAATCTGGAAACCACATATCGGGGGAGTTGGTTTTGGTGACCAAGGGTTTCGTTTTGCAGAGCACCTCGAGGCGTTACCATCGGTCTAGTGTTTTTTTGTCTCGTGAGTGTGAGGTATTTAGGGGTGTTGGGGTGTAGGCTTTAGGGTTTAGGGTTGAGTATCAGGCTTTGGCATGTGTCCTTCAGGGTTTAGTCTCGGGAATTTCGGGTTTGAGGGTGTACATGGGGTCTGAGGGGTTTGTGGGGTTTTGCTGGGTCAGAGACTCAGGTTTTAAGGTTTCTAGGGTTCTCCGGCGAGCAGGGTTGGTGGTTCAACTTTGCGGTGCTTGTAATTGTGGGACGTCGCAAGCTCCAGTCAGTTATTCAAGTATTGAGATTGTGTACACTGCTTCGTTGGGTTTTCGATCTGTTTCATCTAGATCTGTCCTTCCCGTCTGGTCTGGGCATGGGCCCAAGCGCAGGTCAAGCAGAAGCAGGCCCAGATCGAATCTATCGAGGCCCGGGGCCTTAGCGCCGTCCGGTGGTGATGCTGAGTCCGGTTTTCGACTCTTTGCAGAATAACCCCAAACCCGTGAGGCTCCCTGTAAGATCCCGAGTCGAGACTTGCAGATCCTTTGTATTGAGCTTTAGAGCCGCCTTTTTCAGCTATGGCCTCTGGGAATCAGACCATGGCCTTGGAGCCCAGAAGCCTTCAGCCTGTGCACAGGAGCAACTCGAGAGAGATGGCGCGCGGGTGAAGATCATGACGGACCACTTGGTCAACGTGCAGCAGGACGACAAAGAGGTTGCAAGTTTCGAGTCTGGAAGGGTGCAAGAGTGCGACTCCGTCTTCAGAGTGAGAAGCCGTGAAATGTGCAAGTTCGAGTGGAGCTCGTTTCCGGTGGAGCCCTAAACCCTAAACCCTGAGTGCCCTCAGCCCGGAGCCCGAAGCGCACCGAAGCCACGCAGCATGTCGGCCCAGCAGCCTTGAAGCGCTGACGAGCCCCCGAGGGGGCCCCCCCGCTGTGCCCTGGGCCTGGCACGCTCCTGAAGTGGCCATGACCGTTGCACTGGGGAGGCCCTGCACGGAGGCTTGGGGCAAAGGGGTCGCGCTTCTGGTAATTTCTGCCCTAGTTTCGAATCTTTCCTCATTTGGCTTTGCTTCCTGGTGATCGTTTGCGTCTTTCAGCCTGAGACTGGAGATTTCGAGTGGCTGAGGGTTGCTCTTAGAGCTGACGGCATGGGGGAGCATGCAGGGAAGCCCTACTACGGCAAGCTTGGTGTAGTGTCAAGTCAAGCCTTTCAGAGCTGTGCAGAGGCACTGTACGTCGACTCCCAGCCGGGCAGCTTAGGATCAAGAATCAAGAGCAAGTCCAAGACATATTCGTTAAGCTGACTCTCCGACTGCCCCGTGAC